CCTGGGGGAGAGATTTTTGTGTATGGATGGGAGGGGGCTTAGGTGCTAACACCTGACTAAGAGCCCTGGTTAACGCGACAATGAAGACATACCATTAATTTCTCTGTGCCTCAGTACCCCCATCTCTAAAATGGGGATAATAGCACTTCCCTACCTCACAGGGGTGTGTGTGAGTAAATTAATTTAAAAAAAAAAAGATTGTGAGGACCATAGATACTGTGGTTATGAGGGCCGTATAAATACCTTAGATAGAAGACTGTATCAAATAAGGACTAGGGTGAGCCAAAGACTTCTAAGCGCTGCCTCCTAATGATGCTATCCCAAGCCTGGGCCCAGGGGGCATGCCAGCAGCAGGGCTGAGGGATGGAGGAGAGGTTAGGGGCAGGGCTGCAATATCCAGCTCTGAAGCCCATAGGGCAGCCCTGTGGAGGCGGGCATAATTCAGACGGACCCCCATGGTTGTCTAAATTATGCAGTTGTGCCCACTCACACTGGCAGTGAATTTGCCCTGCTGGCTACAGGCCAGGAATGAGGTTTGCAAGGGAAAAAAAAAGAAAAAGAAAAAAAAAAAGCCTTTTTCTAGAAATTATCAATATATTTGCTTCGAGCCTAATACCTATTTTGCCAAATTATCCAGCACACCATGTATTTGCCTAAAGTCAAAAAAGTGAAGGTTGGTGGAAGGAAAGTGATAACGGATCCTATCTGTACTGCAGGGCATCTGATTGAATGTCAGTTGCAAAGCCAGTCCTGTACATTAGGGGTAGGTGGGTGGTACGGAGTAGTCCACTACTGACAGCTTGTACTGCTTTGAAAAAGAAAAGGCAGATAGACAATAGTCCTGGAGGTAAGAGCTTTCTCGCAAGGGAGGCAGAATGTAGGTGATGTTCAGTTAACCACAGAGACATCAGAGTCAGCAATTGCAAAAGTGACTAGTAATTTTAGCTGCCTCGATTTCTGGGTACCTGAAATGAGACACATTAAAGGGGCCTGCTTTTCAGGGGGTTGGCCAAGGACTTTCTGACAATCAGGCCCATTTAAGGCATCTCTCGGTCACCCAAAAATCTCGAGCCCCTTTTGAAAACCTTTGCCCAGGCTTTGCTGGATTAATAAAAACTGCACCTTTGTGATGCGACAATGCCACCCCTGCTTCGCCGGGCACAATACCAGAGATTTATTGTTGTTCCTTTCATGCAGTTTGTCTGTGTAGTCCTGCAGATGATTTCAGCTGTGATCCTGCAATTAATTCTGTGCAAGAAGATCCCTGTTCCTGCACAGAGACCCACTAATCTCAGTGAGGCTGCACGCCAGCACAGGGGTCTTTGCACAGGGAGTCAGTTGCAGGATCAGGCCCTTTGCTCACAAAGCAGCTATCCCAAAAGTACTGTACATGAGTGAAACGGGATTTGTGGGGGAGTTAACTGACCCCTTCCCCTACCTCCCCCTTTTTTTAAGTGAACTAAAGCGTAGCTCTGTAACACAACTGGTGGGAAAAGATATTACCATTTGGAACCATGCCCAGAAAAACTCAGTAAAGCTCTTAGAGCTTCTCCATATCTGGTTCACCTGTCTCTCTAAAATGATGACACCTGGTGGTTAAAATGAGTAAAGGCACAGCTGACTTTTCCAGCCTCATATAAGGAGGCTGCTAGACACAGAATTTAAAGAAAATTCAGGGGAAAAAAATCACAACAGTGCAACTTAATGTATTTTGGCAGCAAAGATGGAGTACAAAAGCACTCCTATTTAGCTTTTCAAATTATTTTTCATGCCTTTTTATTACCTTGACATTATTTTCTGCGTAGCGAAGTACATGACAAAACCACTAGGGTTGTCTATGAACATTTGGGTCCTGAATCCACAAGACCTATGCACGTGCTTAGAGTTAAGCATAGGTGTCGTTAAGCATGCGGGTAAGTCTTTGAATATCTGGCCTTTACCTTTTCAATCTTTTTTATGACTAGGCTGTCTTGATTAGACTTGATTAGCTAAAGTGCTCCATAAAAGTTCATGTAGTTTGAGAGTCTAAAAAAAGCAATTGGTCTCATCTCAATGTGTATTTGCCATTTTAGATGTGCATCATTTGGTCTGCATGCATGCTGCAGAATGTGTCACTGCAGTTACTTTGATACTAAAAAGTGATTAATTTTTAGAGAACATTCTTTTGTGAGTTGTTATAAAAATAGCTTCTTTTTAAATAGACTTGTAAAAGCATATTTGTGTCATTTTAAATAAATGTCTATGGCTTTGATCCTAACAAAAATGGTTTTGGTGGTTTTTTTTATGTACTATTTTGGGGCGGAACTGCAATGATCTGCTTGGAGAAGAGACACTCTCTAGCCCCAGAGTACATGCTCATTATGAAAGATGAAGACCTTCATTTTACAATTATTCTGAAGGCCCCAATCTTGCAATATGGTCACCGGGGATGATCCCTTATAAATGCAGAACCCCCACTGAAGTCACTGGGGCTAGGGTCCGTTTAGGGTAAGAATAGAGTGAAAGTTATAAACCTTTGCAAATAGACTTCGGCAAAAGGAACACCAAAGGAATCCACATAATATTCTCACGTCTAAACACAATGGACTGAATACTGTAGCAAAATGTTTTTTCTCTGCAAAATACTATCCGCTGACAACCTACATGGCATCACTACATAATTATCTTCATGTAACAGTCAACTCTGCTTCAATCCAGTTTCTTTCAGAGCCACAGAGGCTTTTGTGAAATTCTAGTCATCGTGGATGCACAAAGCAGAGAATGAAATAAAAGAAAAATCTGGACTTAGAAAAAAGGACAAAACCTATAGGAAGAAGTTGAATGTTAAATATCTACATGTGCATAATGAGTGCACTGTGCCTATGCTGACAACACTCAAACCAAATCGTACCTAGTCGTGTCTGTATAGATGGTGAGCAATATTACCAAATGCTGTTCCTTACAAGGCGGTTTGGGGCTTTGAGGGTTAAATCTTGGAAATTTTTGTTAATGACTTCAGTGGAACCACTATGCTCTAATCCCATATATATCAGGTTTAGGGTTGCATATACAACAGTAGTCATATTGTCTAGATGGAATGTCATGATATACATCACTGTATTCCCAAAATGCCCTCCCCATCTCAAGCAGACAGAGTCTCAATGCTAGAGATATTATACATGACATCGGTGTCCAAATTATATCTAAAGAGGCTATAAAGAAAGTGATTTGAATGATCTCAATGCAGAGAGGAAATAAATGAGGTTATTTGCTAGAGAAGTAGGAAACTGATTCCCTAGCCAAAATTGCCAATCTCTCACCCAGATCCTAAAGATGGGGGCTTCTTCATAGCTTAACAGTCTAAGCATCAGGTTGAAAACAGCTATGATATCAAAACACAGGTACCCCAACCCAACCTAACAAGGTCAGCGTCAGAGATCGTCAACTGAATGCTCAGTCTGGCTCATCCACAGGACTCCTCTATTCTGCTCTAGATGGATATCAGAAATCACACAGAATATTAGTAAAATTACAAGGCTGCCCCTGTGTACTTGGACTAATATCACCTCTTCCCAGGCATAGGAGATTCCCTGTGGTGCTGCCCAAACACCTGTCCTTAGGAGCAATTTCTCAGACTAGCTTCAGAATCCTCTGGACTTTCAGTAGTGTAGCAGCTGAGGGTGCCGGAGATTCAGCAGCTATATTCCTTGCAACCATTAAAGTAAGTTTGAGTAGAACAGAGGCAAAAGAAAGACATTAGTTCTTTCTTAGGGCCAGATCCTGCAACTGGATCTGCGCAGGCAAACCATTGCTCATGCACAGAGCCCCGATTGCGCTCTGCATACGTAGACCCAGACGCAGGATCAGGCCCTTTAGACGATCCAGGAAGGCCACATAAAAGGCAGGTGCTAAGTCTATGTTTTGTCCAGAGACACTTACAGAACGGGGTATATATTAGTCCGGGTTCTCATTTTACGATGGCCCTTTTACACTGTTCTGACCATGAAGAGTGGACAGAAAACCCATGTAAATAACATTTACCAGAATAGTGTAAGGGGTCCTTAGTGCACCTGAAAATTAGACCAATCAGCCTCCCAGTTATAACTCATAATTTAAATACATGGAGATGATTCAATTTTTGTTTTCACAAAGAAACGTAGGATGATGTTGGGGAAAAGATTCGCAAAGGGAGGGAAATTTCAAATTCTCCTATTAGTAGGGTGATCACCTGTTCCTTATCTTAAGGCACATTCTTTATTTAGTATCTAATATCCCACATCCCGCAGTGAGTCAATACAGGATAAACTTCATCCTGTTTCTCAGTGGTAATTAGACACTGTGATCCACCTGTTTGATTTTACACTACAAATGAAACACTGATGTGTGACAGGTTTCAGAGTAACAGCCGTGTTAGTCTGTATTCGCAAAAAGAACAGAAGGACTTGTGGCACCTTAGAGACTAACCAATTTATTTGAGCATAAGCTTTCATGAGCTACAGCTCACTTCATTGAGCTTATGCTCAAATAAATTTGTTAGTCTCTAAGGTGCCACAAGTACTCCTGTTCTTTTTACCGATGTGTGAGTGAGGTATCCCTTGAAAACAGTCTTTGTCCTGTGTTTGTCCACACTGGTTGTCCTCCTCTCTCTTGGAGAGGCAGGCACAGTGTGGTACCACATGTTATGGAGTCTGTGCAGTGCTTTGGGATCATCGTGTGCAGTCAAGGTGAACTGCTCTCCTGTGGCAACACCTCTCGTTGCCCCTTGCATTGCTGCTGAAATTAAATCCTGAAGATGTTTAATCACCTCCACGCACACGGACATTACAACCTCGCATGGCTGATTCATCTCACAGACGCAGCCAGAGACACTGGGATTTGAAGTAGCCAAAATGACCAAAGCAGGGCCAGGACCGCAGCCTTGAATTTCAGAGGAGCCCCCCAGCAAGGAAGGTGAATGTTGGAGCAGGGAAGTTGGAGCAGAGGAAACAAAGTTGCAGAGCAAGCTAAGCAGTTTAACTTACCATATTAAATTTCCTAGAGCCCTGCACGGTGGCTGTCCTGTTCCCTGGACTCCCTCCTGTGGCCAGGACTCTGCGCTGGGCCCCAGGACTCGGTTCGCTCAGTGCAAAGGTCACAGGCGAAGCAGGTGGCTTGGCCCTGGCAAGAGGCCCAGGAAAGGGAGGTGCTCTGGAGCAAGCAGCACAGCTACCGCGGTAGGAAATAACTAAAAGACGGATGAACTTGGATCCTGACGGATTTTGTACACAAAGTGTATTATTAAAACAGAGAACAAGTCTGACCATTCCTACTGCCTCCGGAAGATCCACATCCCCACACACCCCAGTGCAAGAGCATGCAAAAACCGGATCTGACAGCTGGATCTTGCTGGATCCAGACAATTTTTGAACCCAGGCCCCAAATTCTAATTCCTAAACAGAGAACAAGTGTTGATGCTCCTACTGCACCAACACAATCCAGACCTTGACACATCCTGGCACGACAGCACCACGGAATCCTTTATCCAGTCAATTTTTGGCCCTTCTTGCACAAATTCTAACACATTCATACAGAATAAACTTAGCCAGTTCTACTTCAGCAAAAAAAAACTCAGGATGCTAATGCATCCCAGGACATCAGTCACCACAAACACCCAAATCCAGCCCCTGGATCCAACTGGACTGAACAAGTGTTTGCTCCCAAGTCCATCTGCCACTGGCAAAATAGAGAACACGCTGAGCCACTCCTGTTGCACCTTTATAGTCCAGATGTGATGCGCCCCAGTACAACACTCCTGAAAAACCTCAAATCCCGTATCTGGAGTCTGCCAAACTTCAGTCTGCAAACTGAATCCTACTGGAGCCAGATAATTTTTGACTCCATACGCCATAGTTCAGATACAGGGTTTTAATTCAGGCCCTTCTCTAAAAACTGGAATGGGAAACACACAAGCACATCCCAGAAGGAGTGCGCATAAGCATCTTTTAGTGAAAGATGCTCTAATTTGAGATAAATTGGACTGTGTGCGTGTGACAGAGGTGAGAAGTTTACTGAGAAGTGTTCTGTAAACACTGACCGAATGCTTCAACTTCCCAGACAATCTGAGCTATTGGTGCTTCATGGGAAACTCTGGAAAACATTTTATTTGGAAATACCTCTGTTAATGTGGTCAGGAGGAAGGGGAGGGATTGTCCTACTCTGAATTTGCTATGGCAAAAGCAATAGAACCTACCTTACAGTGCTACGGGAAATCTCCCCATAGGTCAATTACATATTGTGTGTGACCATGATCACTGTAGGTCATGGATCCCACTGTCAAGATCCACACTATATGTCCCCCTTTTTCTCCTCCTCCATTACCAGTGATGTTTGCATGAAAACTGCATCCTTGTTCCCCAGGGTCAAAACTTGCCTTTCAGATCAGCAGGGGGGACACTAACTCCAGTACTTCTTCTGTTCTACCCACATGCTCAAATATCCCACTGATGCTGATGAAAAATGCACATTTGGGGCAAGCAGCATATCAGAACTGAGATCCGCCCTGTATATTGAGAAGACTAATTAATGTTAACGTGAATCTACTCCTGTTTATTTCCCATCTGAGAGTATTAATTCCCTGTGACATCACAATTTATCATCAACAGTAGAGGATTGTTAGCTCAGGTGAGGAATAAGCAGGAGGAGCACATAAACTCTTAAGGGTCAAAGATCTTGTTTTTATGCAAATATCCACAATTAACAAAGAAAGAGACACAAAGCAGGCCAAAAAAACTAAAAAACTGATTTGATCATATCACAGTGATTCTCTGTGCTCTTCCCTGGCTCCCCATCCAATTCCAGACCCACTTCCAGGTTCTGATCCTAATCTTTAAAGCCCTCAATGGTCTTGGACCTATCTGTATTACAGGCTGCCTCTTCAGTCAAACACTGGTTTCAGAGTAGCAGCCATGTTAGTCTGTATTTGCAAAAAGAACAGGAGTACTTGTGGCACCTTAGAGACTAACCAATTTATCTGAGCATAAGCTTTCATGAGCTACAGCTCACTTCATCGGAGGCATTCAGTGGAAAATACACTGAATGCATCCGATGAAGTGAGCTGTAGCTCACGAAAGCTTATGCTCAGTCAAACACTGCAGCCAACAGAGCCCAGTGTGTATCTCTCGGGGACTGGGGCAGGGCATTGCCACAGGAAGATCCTTGGCTATGGAATTCTTTCGCACCAAAACTCAGGATGCAACAGGGCCTTGACGTTTTAGGTTGACCCAACTTTTTGCAAAGCCTTTCCTCACCAGTGACGGGGTAAGAATGGCCTGGCACTCTTCCTCGTGAAAATACACACTACATGAAACATCTGAAAAATAAGGGAGAGGTGGAGAAAATGGTCTTTCATGGACTGAAATCATGCTATTCTTAATTTTGTATCTGGTGCCTAGATGCCCCAGTGATGGTTGCATAAGGAAGGCACAGATGGATTACATTCATTTCAATTTTTAAATGAGAACCGTGGCAAGTGAGCAGATGTGTTTCTAAATGGAATGTTTCTCAAAGTGCTTCATGAGGCATCTTTGAGTCTTTAATGCCAATGCAAAATATCTATTGAACTAAGGCACTCTGCAGTATGAGACAAGGTAGTTAAAACAGGTTGGGTGAATGCTTTCATAGCAGTGGCAGTAATTTATAAAGTTGTGGGTTTTTTTAAAGTATCAGTAGTTGAAATCCTGAAGTTAAATCCTACTGTACGAGACAGCTGTGAATACAATTTAATTTTAAAGGCCAACAACTTGGCCACTGTGTCTAAGGGGCTCTATACCTCTCAGGAAAAATAATTTTAAATGTGAGATTTTTATTTCCTTGTACACACTGCCACCTTGTGGCAGTGGTATCACTAATTTTCTTTTAAAAGGCTTCACAAATCCATCCAAAACAAATATGACTCATTTGGAAATATTTCCAATTCTCTTGATTTAAAACCATCTCTGTAGAAAGAAACAAATATTCATGATACATAGTATTTGCATGATGAACGTGCAATGTAGCTTTAAAGTACAGTAACAACATTCTTCTTAGTACTATCTATTATACCATATAACCTATTTCTAGTAAAGGGTAATCAGCTAACTACTAAGAAATTATACTAAAATATTGTTTATGTCATAGGTCACTGCATTTTTTAAGTTTCGTTTACATGTTTGGTCATTATTGTTTAAGTTCACAACTACTTTTGTTGCATAATTCTTTGTTTGCAGATAGGGTTAACGTTGTTTACAGAGTACAGATGAAGTGAGCTGTAGCTCACAAAAGCTCATGCTCAAATAAATTGGTTAGTCTCTAAGGTGCCACAAGTACTCCTTTTCTTTTTGCGAATACAGACTAACACGGCTGTTACTCTGAAACAGACAAATATGTAATTCCTCTGTAGCTACTTGGTAATTATTGTGCTATTACAGTGTAATTAAACATTAAAACAAGGATGCTCTAAATAGCCATCAACAAGTGTAAGGTAGAAAACCAGCTTGCAATTAAAATTATAGAGTATTATAGCAGCACCAACTAAAACAGGTAGTTAAGAGACTATCAGCTTTTGGATGATAAACGTAATTTCTGAAGGCTGTATAGCTGGGCAGTGCTCTGGCCGATGCTTGGAAAGAGAATTTTACCAGTTCTCAAAGTGGACTAACTGCTTTTGCTATATCCTCCCATCCAGTCCTTCCTTTTCCAAATCATGGAAACAACCAAGTTATTTATGCTTTAGAAGCCACCTACTTAATGATTTAGTATACTATGTACTGTGGCTTACATTTTCAAAAGTGGCTAGTGATTCCGAGGGCCCCAGTTTTGGGATGCCCAATTTAAGCAATCTTAGAGGGGCCTGATTTGCAAGTGCTCGGCCTTGTCTTAAAATCAGGCCCCTTGAAGGTGTCTCAAGTTAGACACCCCGAAATTGAGGCACCCAATATCACTAGTCGCTTCTGGAACTCTTGATTTGTGTTTCATACCACAGACTCTATGTACTGTATTGGAATATTAAATTATTATAAGGTTTTCTACTGAACTTTTCACCATAGAATCTAGGTGCCACCATGCCATGTATTTTTATTGGACTTTGTACACAAACCGCAATACTAACATTATATTTTAATAGCTTATGTTAGAATATTCTCACTGATTGTGCTAGCTCACTTCTAGGAATTGTGTTACTATGGCTATGTCTACACTACCGCCGGATCACCACTCTGGCGATCGATGCACCAGGGATCAGTTTAGCGGATCTAGTGAATACCCACTAAATTGATGGCAGAGCACTCTCCGGTCGACCCCAGTACTCCACCCGGAACAAGAGGAGTAAGGTAAGTTGACCTGAGAGTGTCTCCTGTCAACCCAGCGTGTTGTAGACACCACAGTAAGTCGACCTAAGCTATGTTGACTCCAGCTACATTATTCACGTAGCTGGAGTGGTGCTTTTTGTAAAAGGCTAAACCAATTCCCTAGTGTGTTTATTGTGACACTATCGCTTATCTGAATGATTGATGTAAGTATCAAGTTCTTTAATAGGTATATTTATAACTCATCAACCCTAAAAAATAATACAAGTTCGATGTGCCGGTGTGAATCATGGTGCATTGGTCAGGTAAGCCGTTCTCAGACCATTTACCATCCAGCCCCTCTTTTATCAAAGGAAACCAACTAGGAGGGTAGAGAGTCAAGACAGGAGTAGGAAAGAGATGGCACTTCCCCTGTCTTAGACCTGAGGGAGGGTGGGTGGAGTCTCCAGCTGAAGAGCCAGACTGATGTGTGCATTAGAGGTTGGCTTTTCAACCAGAAATTCCCAGACCCACATTGGCAAAGAAGTAGAAGGGAGTTAAAAAGCCAAAAGACAGACTGAAAACATGCTTTGATGGGTTTTTTTAATCTCATGAGTTGAAGGGGTATTACTTATAAATTGTGATTTCTTACAGTGAGACCAACACAGCACTTTTGAAAAATCCCATCCCTGCAGAAGAGTTCTGCAGTACTGAGCTCTCCAAAAGCTTTCGGTCTCCCAGCTCAATCGCATCCTATGCCTGCTATGTCCATCTTGTAACCTGATGAATGAACTGGAGAAATAGGGTCAGATTTTAGGA